ACTGTGCAGCCCGTGTTTTTCACTGGACACGCCGATTCGGTACAGTGAATCGCCGATTCACTATACAGAATTGCCCGGTTCTCTTTGGAATCGGTTGATTCCGTGTAAAATACAAGAACCGGCACGGACTGTGCCCAGTCCTGAGTCGAACCGGGCTAGTCCGATTCGACTCGACGTTTTTTAATACACTGATCTTTGATAATGGGGTTGGGGTCATAGTGGTAGCACCACTTGTGCTCTAGTTAAAGTCTAGGCTTCCATTCTCACCTAACGCATTTAAAGCTCACTAACGATTTAAAAAACCGGATAGGGGCTCATAATCCCTACTGAATTACCCAAAAAAAAATTGTGTATCTCTCGAACTTCAAATTTGCATTCCATCTAGTATTGATAAAAGATACGTATGGGAGTGCTTGAAGGGCAAGTGTCTAAAAGAGGGATTCTATTTGTATAGCATTAGGTGGGAATGATTGAGACTTGCCAGCTTAATCGTGGGCAAAAGACTATCTCATCCAATTAACTTGGTTGAAATATGGTAAAAGTAGTTTGCTTAATAACCCGAAGGAGATCATTTGGAGGGAAAATTTTGAGTATCGTCAGACATATACAGTATATTTTAATTTAAATTTATTTGTTGGTAATCACATTCCTGGCTCTTTTTCCCTCAAGTACCTTATAAACTGAGAAAAGATGGATTGAAATATCATTCAAAACCAACAATCCATTACTTGTTTCAAAACAACTTGATCACGAATTAGTGAATTATCGAAGAAAATTGCTTCAACTAAGGTGCCAAAAAGACTTCTACCATCACATAGTATTATACTGAACACTTTCTAGAGTAGTTAGTGGATGAACCTCGAATTATGCCCTTCAATTGTAGGTGATGGGATATAATACATACTCTCTTTTTTACTTTGTATTCCTTTCAAATGGCCCATGCATTTGTTTTGATCTTGCACCCCGTATCAAGGTTTTCATGAGTTTTTAGGATGATAATTCCCACAGGAAGTTACTGCATTTCCACACTCATAGAATTGAATCGATGGAGAGCTTTATGTAATTCAATATCCCCACTTTCTCTTACTTCATATAGGTAGATAGGTAGATGCACCCATTAAGAACTGGGCTCGACCTACTTTGAGGTTGGTGATCTCAACACCATACAACCAAATATGTGGTGGGAAAATATATTATCATCAATGTTGTTATACATGAATTTTTGTACCCCACTTTTTCCACTCCTTGAACTTGGGACTTGTGATCTGTTTTGTTTACCAAGTAAGGTTACCATTCCTTTGTGACAAATCTTAAGTCGACCTCAATCCCGTCCCTCTATTTGTATTCCATACTTCTGTAAGACATTTGTTTTAGTGTATCAGCTAAGTTTAGGTTAAACCTGATGTGGGATACAATAATTAATCCATTTTTTAGGAATTCAATTGAGAACATTTGGTTAAGCATCTAGAAAGGATAGGCTGAATAAGTAAATATTTAATGGGTCAGCATTTGATATCAGGATGGGCTAAGAGATAGTGGTTTAGTTTTTGTCATGTCATTTCAATGGGGGAATAGTTATTCTTCATCATGTAGTTTAGATAATTGAGAGTCAGCTTCGCTTGTCCTTGTGTTGAGCTAATAGGGGGAATCGTTATGCTCGGCTTCTTTATCATTCAAATGGGAAATCAAATTGGGCGAATTTGTTTTTGCATCTCTGGAGTTAGTATTTGTTTTGTTGGAGTCATATTCAAATAAAAATATTCTTTCGCAGACATTTTGGGGAAACACCTGCATCGACCAAGATTAGAGGAGAAGAGAGTGAGATATCGGGACTCCGTCGACATTTCATCAAAGCCTCGATTAAAGACGTTTTGCATAAACCAGAAAGGAGAGATCATAGTTGTCCTGCATCGCTTGAAAATTTCTATATTGAAGAAGTTAATCGGTCCTATTTCGGTTATTTCTCTGTTTATGCATTTGTTAACTCTTTCTAATCGATTTCGTCATTGATCAAAGGTTTTCTACTTAAGTGGATGTAATAGGTGATTAAGTCCCCTGTAACTCTACGACAGCTGGTAATGATATAAAAATCTCTAGATATGAATTTCAATTTGCCCTTATACTTTTCACCCTGGTTTGTTGGTCTACTCTTTTCTATTTTGTTCTCCATATAGGAATACATTCTAGTGAATAATGTGATGAGTCTCAAGTTTCTTTGAAGAAATTCAGTGTCCATTTATCAATATAAATATATAAGTCATCTTATAAGACAAATTACATATGACAATAATAAAAACTAAATCATAAACACCTAAACTATATACCATGACTTACCATAAAATATAGGATAGAATATCGTACTTTTCCCATATTTACTTATTACAATATGCACCTTCTATATTAATCCGATATACAATATATACATTCTTTTCACACTCCCCCTCTAACACAAGATGCCAAGAAAGAGAGCAATTGGAGTTTGAACACCAAGTCGTAGAAATGAGCAATTAGATTTTTCGAGTGCATACTTATATTGCTTGATCAACAAGCACTGAAAGCAATGGCAAATCAACGAGCGTCGAGAACATATGGCTTCAGGAACTCTTGGAAAATATCAAACAGATTAGAGAGTCGAAACACGACTCGGCATAGAGACAGATCAAATAGTTGAAACACGACTCGGTAGAGAGATAGATCAGAGAGTCGAAACACGACTCGGCAGAGAGGACATATCTGAAAGTCGAAACACGACTCAGTAGAGAGTCGAAACACGACTCAGCAGATAGTCGAAACACGGCTCGACCGAAGTTGCACCGACTGGGTGAACAACAGACTCGTCTTGAAAATTGGCAACAATGCATCAGAGACGAAGATTGGACACAGCTAAGACGAACCTCGTTCTGATACCAAGTGAAAAGTCTCAGGTTTCTTTGAAGAGACTCAGTGTCCATTTATCAATATGAATATACAAGTTGTCTTTTAAAGACAAATTACAGATGACAATAATATAAAATAAATCATAGACACCTAAATTGTACCTAGACTTACTATGAAATAAAGGATACAATATTCTATCCTTCCCATATTTACTGATTACAATATAAACGTTCTATATTAACCGGATATATAATATATACTTTCCTTTCATAAATAAGAGTATCTCATTGTCTTAACTGCAATACGAAATTGCTCTGACCATTATCAGAGTAACAACGATGCAATTGAGTAATTCGCAACAAATTGAGTCCAAATGTTTTTTTTTGGTAATTCAGTGGGAACGACAAGCGCCTACCCATTTTTTAAATCGTTAGTGATTTTTTAATACGTTATGTGATAATCGAAGCCTAGACCTTAGCTGGAGCACAAGTAATGCTACCACCATGACCCCAAACCCATTCTCGACGGAGTCTAAATGTTGTTTACTAAGAAGATCATATCTATCTTCTGTTAAGATTTTCTTACTTTTACTATTCAAACCCAATTCTTTGAAAACTTATAAACCGCACTAAAGTGACAAGACTGAAAAATAAGATTGAAACTAAAAATTGAAAAACAAATAGATATAATGTTTTCAAAACATAAATTAGAAAAAAAAGGGAAATTATCAAAAATATAGTTTAAGTTTCGGCCTATTAGAAAAAAAACCCAAATTTTTGTAAACCTCGTCCATACGTTTCTTTTTATTTTTCACCATTTTTTTTTACCAAAATCGCCTTCACAGTAGTCGTATTACTGTGAAGGCCCCATGTATCATTGTACTTAAAGTGCCGTGATGAATTTCAAAAATTATACGGCGGTTAAAATGCGGTGAATACTCGAAAGTGTATCACGGTACTCGAAAGACTGTGATGGTAGCAGCGGAGGACACCCGCATCCTTTCTTCTTGCCCTTTCCTTGCATTGTTGCCTCTTCCGTTGTTGCGCGCACACACAGCCGGAAATCATCGTATTCCAGGTAAAATTTTCAGAATTACACCCACTGGTTCATATGAAGGGAATGAAGGGGTTGAGGTTCATCAACAAGAAATTGAAATCTTTCACGCCATCATTGGTGGTTACAACCCTAAAGACATCGTTAGAGAGTCGGGTGGTGCAATTGAATGCCATAGACGGAGGGGCCTTCCTGATGATCCCTTCCTCAAACACCACCCCCCATCTTGCAATGCCCTCCCATTGTGCGAAGAAGAAGTGTTCAATAAATCCAAAGACCCACCTTGCAATCCGCACCATTGTGTGAAGAAGAAATGTCCTGACAACCAAAAACTCATCTTCAACATATTTCAAAACCATAGACGTCTCTGACCTTTTACGTGACCTAGAAGACTAGAAGAAGAAGAAGACATGATCTATCACCCCACCTCTGACAAGGAGAACATCAGGCCCACCCAAATCTTCCACCAACCGCACCCGAGAAGAAACATGTCAAAAACAAAACAGAGCACCAACACATAAAGACTTCAAGTCGTCACGGCATTTTAAGTGTCGTATAGTCTTTGAAAGTCAACACAGCACATTAAGTACCGTGATGCATAGGGCTTTCAATACGACTACCGTGAAGGTTATTTTGAAAAAAAAAAATGTTTAAAATAAGAAAAAAAGGGTATGAACGAGAATTACAAAAGCATGGTGTTTTTCTTCTAATAAGCAGAAAATTAAAATTTATTTCTCAAAATTTCCAGGAAAAAAAAAAGAGCTCCCACATAAGATAAAAATAAAAATAAAGATTTAGAACTAATGCAAAGTTATTTCAAAAATATAAACTAGATAGAATAAATAGGAGTTTCAAAATAGAATTAAACTTGAAAGAACAACAGACTTAAAATGTGAATTCCTACCAAATTAGGAACTCCAATTGAAATAACTAGATATCTAATCTCCATGAAAACAAGAAGCAAAACTGAATAGACATAATTCAATAAATTCTAGATAAATATAGAACAATGTAGTAATGCATGACTCAAACATTAAACATAGAGAGTATATTTTACACATTTGCCTTTTACAAGATTGCTTCAATCAAGATTATAAGGAACCAACTCCAAGCAACATAGCAATTTCAAAATCTGGCCCTGCTTTAGTCGTTAGGAATAAATATGAGTGTTCTTGCCTTTATAAACACTTGCAAGGCCAATGCTACTCAATTATGCCCTATTGGACTTCCTTTGAATGGTAAAGAGGATATCAAACAAGCATCCACTTGTACAGCAACTGTTCAATAGTTTAGCCAAGCTTTCTGCATCAAACTTAATCAGGGTATGCTGCTGTCTTGGCCTTTGGTTTCATTGAACCATTTTCAGATGGGTTGGAACCTCCCCATTTTTCCAAGCGATCGCTCGACATTTCAGCCTGCAAATCGAGAAATAAATCACCATTTTTTCAGGTTTTGGAGGAAGAAACTCCATAAGGAACATCAACACATGATAGAAATAAGCCGGAAAAATATCAACAAAAGAAAAGAGAAATGTTGTGGAAGAATGTATACCTCCTTGTCCCAATCACAACGGTAGGTGATGATACCCAAAATCAAGGTCTGCACTCCTGTTCCGCCGATCATTCCCGCCCATATTCCCTTTTTTAATTAGAATAAGTTAGATGCATAAATATCTACTCGAAAAAAATGCTAGTCATATAGTCAAATAACACGTAGAGCATACTCACTATGTTGGGTTTGGTGATAGCTAAATCACCATACCCTATTTTTTTCTAAAGATTAGGGTATTATGGAAAATAGAATTGATTTTCTTGATAAGCAAAAAAGTAATATCTTTATAAGAGAGTGATCGAGGACATAATACCCATCTTTTGAGGGTCACCCCTTTGGGGGTTATGGGAATGGATCTCTAATATAGAGATGGATATCCAATATGGAGATGGGTCTTCAAGAGAGAGAGACATGGCCTCTAAGAGAGAAGCGGTTTTCCCATTAGTTTTGGGTAGGTTAACTTCCACTTCTAAAGACAGAAAATCTTTATGTTGCTCTCGAGGTTAGAGGATGTTGATCGACGGTGTTACTCAGTCGAGAGAACAGGTTTAAAATAGAAGATCGTAATGGTCGTTTATCGATGTTTAGAGATAGGCATTATCTCTTGTAACCCAAAACTATAATCTTCATTGTGATAGTAGATTTCTAGTTGCCGAGGCTATGGATATAGCCCTATAAGGTGAACCACGCAAATCTTGTATTATTATGGTGTGCCTTTTTTATTTTTTCTTTATTTCTCGTACTCAATTTATAGTTGTATTCATCTACTTCGCATTTAACCACTCATACACACGATCTTGGGTGGGATCCCGGTGTTTGGGACTCCTGATTCCACAACTTAGGGGTTCGCGAGATCCCTAAACACTAAGGAGCATACTATCTTACTCCCTTGAGCAAAAGACCAACCTTGGAAGAGTTCTACATGAAATTTTGTTAGACACCTGAGAATCAACACATGATTATTTTTGAAACATAAAAATAGATTTTGGGTTCTTGCACTTCAATGTGACCATCCACATTGTCTTTGGTCAATCTTTTAAATGTTAATTCTACATGGTGTGTATTTATTTTTTTTATTTTTTTATTAGGTTCTTGCACTTCAATGTGACCATCCAAATTTAGTTTTTAAAATTGTTAGGTTGAAGAGTTTACATCACCCTTATGGTTTGAGATCCTAAAAAGAGTTCTAAATTAGATTTTACCTGAGGGAGTAAAGGAAGTGTTCCATGGAGAGCATAAACTTTTTTGACAAATAAAATAGCTTAAGTAACCAGACACGATCATGCATTGCTATCATGAAACATGCGCATATTGGAATGGCAACTTTATAAAGTTGGAAATTACCAGTAACAAATACCCGAAAATCGACCATGTTTTAGAGAGAAATAAAAAAACTGATGAGAAATATACAAAAAGATATCACAGATGTGGGAGTTTGAGTCCTCCACCATGTACCAGCATAGTACGGAACAGAAAAACCCACGAAATGGCTCTCTCTCTTTATAAAAAGCTTATTTATTTATTCAACTAAAAATCCCTCCTACAATATAAGACGTCCTCTTTTTAAAAGTTCTAAGAAAAACATCCTCCTTTTCCTAACTTGTTAAAGGATAAATATTTAATTATGAAATATAAGCTTCATTTTACCTTTTGTCTCTTTAGGATACATGTCACCCCTTATCACTAGTATCTAAAGACAACTTACACGTTTTATTCTAAAGACAAGCTTCTATACCCTATTAAAGATAAACATTTACAACACTAATCTTTCTACAAGATAACAATGACCTAAGGGAGTTTCTATTCTAAAACCAGCCTTCTCAAAGGAAAAACCCACATCAACAAAAACGTAATACGGCCTTATCTTTCTTTAAAAATTTGAATTTTATTATCTAAAACTAAAAATTTTCTAGCTTTCTAAAAAAAAACAAATTCACTAAAACCAAAATAAATATAATTCTTATAAACTAACACAAAAACTACCCACATCTTTAAAAATAAAATCAAAAATAAAAAAATTATAATTTTTAACTACCAGATCTTGATCTGCATCATTATTATCCCTTGACTGGAAAAAACTTGCCCTTGAGTTTTAAAATGTACTAAGATGAAATTTGTATTAGTCTCGCAACCATCTTCGACCTAAATATTATAAACACGATCTTGAGACCTATGAGTTACTGCACTAATCAAAACACAATGATTGTGCAACGCAATGTTGAAACCCTCGAGGAATCGATCATTGTATAACTATAGGATTTGTTTTTGCTCAGCCTTATAACATACTAAGGGAGCATCTTCGAGATGAGCACTTTCGATAACTGAAGTAACTTAGTTCATCTTCTTTTCGTCCAGTATTTCTATAGTCGTGATCTCCTCTGGGTTTGTGTCGATATCTTGCTTAACTATTAATTGATTCGTGAAAAAATTAGATATCCTTACTACCTCAAGGTGAATTTCTCTCATTTCATCTTGTTCTTCATCAAATATAGGACCTTCATAAAAAATAGGGTCATAAATGACATTAATGAATGATAATTCCAATTGAAGATCCAAACCAACTTGTTCTTCACCTTCAACTAAATCTTTATCAAATTTATGTAGATCACTCTCTCGACCATGAGGCTCCAGAAAAGAGGGTGTAAATTATTATCCTTAATAGGGTGTAGAAGATTATCTTTAGAATAAAATGTTTAAGATGTCTTGGAAACTATTGATAAATGGGGGATATGTATCGTAAAAAGATAGAAGGTAAAAGAAAGCACATCTTCCATAATTGAATATTTATCTTTCTAGCAAGTTAGGAAAAGTAAGATATTCCTTTAGAAATTTTAGAAAGAGGATATCTCATATTGTAAGAGGGATTTTCGGTCACATAAAGAAATAAGGTTTTGTAGAGAGAGAAAGAGTCGTTTGTAGTTTTTTTTTTCCGTACTCTGGTGGTGCATGGTAAAGGACTCGGACTCCCACGTTTGTGCCTTCTTTTTACATATTTTTTCTCAGTTTTCAACTTACCAGCAACAACCACCAAAAAATCCAATGCGTTTTATAGATAAAAATAAAAAAACTAAGAAAAAATATGCAAGAAGGAATCATAAATGTGGGAGTCCGTGTCCTCCGCCACCCACATCCAGAGTACAATAAAGAAAAACCCACAAAAGGATTCTCTCTCTTTCTCTTTCCAAAAAACCTATTTCATTTTTTCAACTGAAAATTGCTCTTATAGTATAAGGCATCTCCTTTGTAAAAGTTCTAAAAAAAATGTCGAACTCTTCCTAACTTGCTAAAAGATAAAGATTCAATTATGAAAGATGTGTTTCATTTTACCACCTATCTCTTTAAAATACATGTCCCCTATATCATCAATAGCTTCTAAGATATCTTAAACGTTCTATTTTAAAACTAATATTCTATACCCTATTAAAAATAAGCATTTACACCACTTGTTTTTGTACAAAATAACATTGAACTAAGGGACTCTCTATTCCAAGACAAGCCTTCTCAACGAAAAAATCCAACTCAACAAAAACATAAAATTGCCTTATCTCTCTTAGAAAATTCTAACTCTATTATCTAAAACTAAATATTTTCTAGTTTTCTAAAAGAAAATCAAAGATTCCCTAATACTAAAATAAATAGAATTTCTAATTACTAACCCAAAAATCTACCCACATGTTTAAAAATAAAATCAACAAAAAAAAAATTAAAATTTTGTAACAACCAGATCTTGATCTGCATCATTCTCTCCAAGTAGATAAAAGTTGTCCTCGAGTTTTAAAATATGTTAAGATAAACTTTGTATTAGTCCCGCAACGTTCTTCAACCTGAATATTATAAACACGATTTCGGGACCTGTGAGTTGCTACACTAATCAAAACACAATGATTATACAATGAAGCTCTAAAACCCTCGACTGTATTTCCATAGAATTTCTTTTATCTCAACCCTACAACATACTAAAGGAGCATCTTCAAGATGAGCACTTTCCATAACTGAACTAACTTCAGTTACCGATTCTCCTTTGAGTCCATCCTTTTTTTTGTCAAGCATTTTCATTGGCGTAATCTCCTTTGGGTTTGCATCGATATCTTGCTATCCATCTGTTGATTGATGAGAAATATAGGACCTTCATAAAAAAATAGGGTCATAGACATCAATGAATGATAATTCCAACTGAAGATCCAAACTGACTTGTTCTTCACCCTCAACTGGATTTTCACCAAGTTTAGGTCGAGTTTTGCATTAAGTGTTGTGTAAGCTCCTCTACTTATCTTCTCAAATTTTGATCTCTATATTTAGGAGGTCTCAATCTCGTTGGATGAGATCATTCTCGATACCTAGTCATAGATCATGTCCACGAGCTATGATGCCTACCGATGGACACCACAATCCATAAGAATCAAGTGACACTCTGATACGACCTCACTCAGCAGGAAATAATGATACATATCAAGTTCTAGTTGTTACAAAATTTTAATTTTATTTTTACTGATTTTATTTTTAGAGATATAGGTCGATTATTTTGTTAGCTTTTAGAATTTACATTTATTTTGGTTTTAGGAATCTTTTATTTTTTTTTATAAAAGTAAAAAATTTTTAGTTTTAGCTAGCCGAGTGCGAATTTTTTAAAAAAGATATGGTCATTTTATGGTTCGGTTGAGTTAGATTTTTTTCATTGGGAAGGCTTATCTTGGAATAGAGTGTCCCCTAGTTCAATGTTATATTGTAGAAAGATAAGTGGTGTAAATTCTTATCTTTAATAGGGTGTAGAAGATTATCTTTAGAGTAAAACATTGAAGTTGTCTTAGAAGCTATTTATAAAGGGGGGCATGTACTGTAAAGAGATAGAGGTAAAAGGAAGCTTATATATATATCATATGATTGAATCTTTATCTCTTAGTAAGTTGGGAAGAGGAGGACGTTTTTTTTTTTTTAAACTTCTAAAAAGAAAAAGTTTCATATTGTTAGAGGGATTTTTGGTTGAATAAAGAAATATTTTTTAGAGAGAGAGAGAGCCCTTTTATGGGTATTTCTCTTTTGTACTTTAGTGCTATGTGGAGGAGCACTCAGATTCCCATTTTTTAATTTTCTCTCTAAAACGTGGTGAATTTTTTAGTGTTTGTCGTCCGAAAGTTAAAACTACGAATTTTTTGGTGTTTGTTGTCCGGAAGTTAAAACTAAGAAAAAATGTGCAAGATGAAAGCATGGACATGGGAGTCGGAGCACTCCACCATACACCACCAAAGTACGGAAAAGAAAAAGCCACAAAAGGGCTTTCTCTCTCTCTCTCCAAAAAAACTATTTCTTTAAATAAAAAAAAATCCCTCTTACAATTATGAAAGATAAGCTTTTTTTTAGTCAATAAAAAATCCCTCTTTCAAGTATGGAAAGAAAAATCCCTCTTGTTAAACATATTACTCTTCCTAACTTACTAAAAGATAAAGATTCAATTATGAAAGATAAGCTTTTTTTACCTCCTATCTCTTTAGGATACATGTCCCACATTATCAATAGCTCCTAAGTCATGTCGTTATATTCTAAAGATAATCTTCTACACGTATTTTAAGATAAACAATTACACCACTTATCTTTCTAGAAGATAATATTGAACTAACGGACTCTATCCAAAGACGAGCCTAACTAAAAGACCCAACTCAAAAAAAACATAAAACGGCTTAATCTTTTCTAAAAAATTCAAAATCTCTATCTAAAACTAAAAATTTTGTAGTTTTATAAAAGCAAAAAACGATTCACTAAAACTAAAAGCAATATAAGTCCTAAAAACTAACGCCAAATCTACCTAGAAGTCCAAAAATAAGAGCAACAAAATTAAAATTTTGTAACAACTAGATCTTGATCTGCATCATCCCCTAGTCGGAGAAAACTCGAACTCAAATTTTAGCATTAAGATGAAATTTGTATTAATCCCACAACTTTTTTCAAACCAAATATTATAAACACGATCCTGAGACCTATGAGTTACTACATTAATTAAAACACAAGGATTATGCATTGAAACGTTAACACCCACGAGGAATCGGTCATTGTAAATCCATAAAAATTATTTATTCTATACCCTACAACCTATTAAGGGAGCATCTTCGAGAGGAGCGCTTTTGATAATCAAACTAACTTCAGCTACTGATTCTCCTTTAAATCCATCTTTTTTTGGGTCAAGTATTTCTACAGGCCTATTCTCCTCTAAGTTTAAGCCGATATCTTGCTTATCCATCTTTTGATTGAAGAGAAATTTAGATATCCTAACTGCCTCAAGGCTAATTTCTCTCTTTTCATCTTTTTTTCATCAAATATACGATCTTTATAAAAAATGGGGCCATAAATGACAACAATAAACGATAATTCCAAATGAAGATCCAAACCTACTTGTTCTGCACCTTCAACTGGATCATCATCAAATTTAGTTAGATCACTCTCCTGACCATGAGGCTCCAAACGCAGAACATGCGCATATACCCAAGTCTCAAAAACATCATTGAACTCACTATTGTCATCATAGTGTGTCAATGTTGAGTTTTAAGCTAAACGTTAGGTTAGCGCCTGTACTTGCTTTTTCAAATTTTTTATCTCAATATCTCGGATGTTTCATTCTTATTGGATGAGCTCATTCCCAATACCCCGTCATAGACCATGTCCATGAGTCATGATGTCTATTGACGAACAACCACTATACATAAGAATCGACTAATGCTCAGATACTACCTGACACAACTAGAAATAATGATGCACGTCAAGTTCTGGTTGTTAAAAAATTTTAATTTTATTTTTGTTGATTTTGTTTTTAGAAATATTGGTAGATTTTTTTACTAGTTTTTAGCAATTATATTTAATTTAATTTTAAGGAATCATTTATTATTTTTATAAAACTAGAAAATTTTTAGTTTTTATAAAACTAGAAAATAAGGTCATTTTAGGTTTTTGTTGACTTGTTTTTTTTTTGTTGGAAATTGTCTTAGAAAAGTGAGTCCCTTAGTTCGATGTTATCTTGAACAAAGACAAGTGTTGTATATGCATATCTTTAATAGGGTGTAGAGGATTTTCTTTAGAATAGAACGTTTTAAGATGTTTTAGAAGCTATTGATAAAAGGAGACATGTATCTTGAAAATAGAATGTAAAATGAAGCTTATATCTTTTATAGTTGAATCTTTATCTTTTAGCAAGTTAGAAAAAATATGACTTCATTTTTTAGAACTTTTAAAAAGAAGACTTCCCATACTGTGGTGTGGCGTGGTCGAGGACACGGACTCCCACATTCGTGCTTTCTTCTTGAATATTTCTTTTTGGTTTATTATTTTTCTTTCTAAAACATGGTGGATTTTCTCATGGGTTTGGCGAAAAATCAAAAAATGAGAAGAAATATGCAAGAAAAAAGCTTGTATGTAGGAGTTTGAGTCCTCCACCGCACCACCATGAGTACAGGAAAGAAAAACCCACAAAAGGGTTCTCTCACTTTCTCTCTCTCTAGAAAAAACTTATTTCTTTACTCAATCAAAAAACCCTCTTACAGTATGAGATGTCATCTATTTAAAAGTCCAAAAAAAATGTCCTATTCCTAACTTGCTAAAAAGAAAAAAATTCAATTATAAAAGATAAATATTTTTTTACTTCTTATATCTTTAGGATACGTGTCTCCCTTTACCAATAACTTCTAAGATAATGTTTTTTTCCAAAGATAATATTCTAGATGCTATTAAAGATAAGCATTTATACCATTTATCTTTGTATAAGATTACATTGAACTAAAAAACTCTCTATTCCAAGACCAGCCTTCCCAACGAAAAAAACCCAACTCAATTAAAACATAAAACTGTCTTATTTTTACTAAAAAATTCGAACTCTATTATTTGAAATAAAAAAATTTCTGGTTTTCTAAAAAAAGAAAAGATTCCCTAAAACTAAAATAAATATAGTTCTTAAAAGCTAACCCAAAAATCTACCCACATTTCTAAAAATAAAATCAATAAATATAAAATTAAAATTTTGTAACAACCAAATCTTAATATGCATCACAACTACAATAAACAATAAATTATATAAGTGAAAAACTAAGGATTGGTGCTCGAAGAACCATCATAGTGCCCGCACGTCCATCAAATATATCAAATAACCAATAAGTGCATGGGAAGCCAAATGAATTGGACATGATAAATCTGTCCCAATAAAATAATTGTTTTTTTTTTTATATCTGTTTGTAGCTTACCCAAACCACTTAAGTATAATAGTTCTTCATAGACCAACTTTCAATGAGTTATCCAAAATGAGTTTGACATGATCAACCCCTTTTTTTATGTATATAAATCTCGAGGTCGAGATAAGCGATTTGAGGGCTTTCCAGCATAAGAACAACTTTTTTTAGGATGTTTTTTTACTTGTACAGCATTAAAAAGTTGGCACCATATACAACTTTTTCCAATAACTAATGCTCAATAACTTCTAAGTTTATGAGCCACGAACATGTCTAAAAGTTTGTACACCTCAGGTAGAAGCAATGAACTACCAATAAGTGCATGGGAAGCCAAATGAGTTTGACATGATCAATCCCCTTTTTTATGTATATAAATCTAGAAGATAAACGATTTGAGGGTTTTTCAGCATAAGAATAGCTTTCTTTATTGCGTTATTTTTTACTTGTTCAGTATAAAGAAGTTGGCACCTTATATAATTTTTTCCAATAATTAATGCTCAATAACTTCTAAGTTTATGAGCCACCTGCATGTCTAAAAGTTTGTACAAGTAGAAGCAATGTACTACAAATAAGTGCATGGAAAGCCAAATGAGTTTGACATGATCAATCCTTTTTTTTTTTTATGTATATAAATCTCGAAGTCGAGATGAACAATTTGAGGGTTTTCCAGCATAAGAACAACCTTCTTTAGTACCTTTTTGTTTTACTTTTATAGTATAAAGAAGTTGGCACCTTATTTAACTTTTTCCAATAATTAATGCTCAATAACTTCTAAGTTTTTGAGCCACTTGCATGTCTAAACGTTTGCACACCTCAGGTAGAAGCAATGTACTACAAATAATTGTAAGTGGAATGCTCAATTACTTCTAGTTTTATATGCCACCTACTAAAAGTTTGTACATCTGAGGTAGAACCAATTTACGACAAATAATTGTTCAGTGAAAAGTTTGTACATCTGAGGTAGAACCAATTTACGACAAGTAATTGTTCAGTGAAATGCTCAATAGCTTCTATGTTTATGTGCCACCTGCATTTCAGTTTTTTCCCATGCACAAGAGAAGTCTCTCTAAAATTTGATCCTCGTGTTACTGCATAGTATCGCGTGCCTTTACGTTGCATATCACTTGAATTTGCTTTCATTTTAGCACGTTCGATTCCCGTGAAACATGAAAAAATTCTCTTATATGGTAAGATGTAAGAATATTTTACATCAATCAGTTGTCAATTGGTAGGAATATTTTTACATCAATTAGTTGTTAATTGGTATAAAAAAATGCATTAAAACTAATTGGTATAAAAATATTCCCACACTTGATCGCATGCGAGAATTTTTTATGCGACAATATTTTTTAGAAAACATTTTCACGTGAACCAAACTTGCCATTATGTGCTTTAGTTTTAGTGGGACAAATCCCCATTTGAATTTGTTGGTCCAAAGTTGTGTAGACTTTGAACAAGAACACAGACCTTCCAAAAGAAGAAGGAAACAAGTGACTGACTTGACGCACCTAAATCAAAACCATAGAGACCTAAATATATTGGCAAGTGAGAGAGGTGCAATTCTCATTACCCACCAAATTCTAATATTCCCAATTAAGGCTTTTAATTTTTTTTCTTTTTTTTTTTCTTTTTAGATTTCCTTTCTGTTGTGTCGAAGACGTTGGATAACCAGACAGATACAACCGTTATTAGAAAAAAGAGTTGAAAAACCAGGGGATTTACGCTATTATGGGTTCCCTGATACCAGATCACTAACCAATTGATTTCGAGACAAATTGGCGATTCCGGCTCGGCTAGACAATTTTTAACACACTCTTATCAATACGTACCAAAACTCCACGCTTGAATACCCAACCGAGGAGAACACCAATTGGAACGCCGATCAAATAATAGCACCCTATGTTGATGTAAGCCACGAGCGCTTGCCATCCCGATCCAACGGCCACCCCTAATAAACCAAAAAAAATGGATGAAAATAATCAATTTACAGATAAAGAAGAATTCATGTATCTATTATTAAAACAGAAAGGAATTCCAACCCATGTCTCAAATTTTAGGGTTCTTGTTGATGAGTAACTAGAAATAATTTGAATAGAATTTTATTGAATGTATGGGTCATAGAAAGAAACAATGGTAAAACTAGTTTGTTCAAGAACAAATATTCAATGGTTCCCCTGTTCTCCCTCATGCAAACATGCCATAGCACTACATTCTACAACTTCAGTTCAAGATTATGGAGGGAAAATGTCACTTTTTTCCCTTTTTTATTTAAATGTTTTCTTGTTTTGTAATTTGTCCATTTATTAACTATTACCTATCACATTTTCTTTTGTACTACTTCGAATGGAAACCCAAAATCAAGAAAATATCATATAATTGTGAAAAACTTTCAAGCCAGACCTAGAATATCAATTGCTTGATATTTCAGTCACTTATCAAAACATATATTCGATATGAATTATTCTAACTCATGATTATGTGTCTTTTGATAGAAATTATGTGATTAAATGAAAAGAAATAATTGAAAAAAATTGTTCATGTCTCAGGTACTTCAGATAAAATTCATCTAAACATTACAGAGTAAATATATCAGAAGAGAAATTGTGACAATCTATGCCACAGTGGCCCGAATACACATCCAATAATCAAAGTAAACAAAAATGTCGTAAGCTAATCACGCAAAACATACCAGAGAGAATGGGCTGGACGCTATTAAGCATGATAGTGAATCCCAACAGTACTGCCAATTTGGAGGCTGCTTCCAAGACCACGGTGCTACTTGTGAAGATGAGCGCGAACTTAGTATTGAAGACCATGATGAGAACACAAAATATTAGGCCAAACACCAATGAAGTTGTCACCGACACGATCGTAGCGAACCGGGCACCTTTACCGTTTCCTGCTCCCAGCTCGTTTGCCACCCTCACTCTGCGTTAGTATCAAGAATTATCTGGCTAACTACATTAAGAGGGGAACCGTACTATTGATTATACTCTTGCTTTATGGGAGCTTGATTTTCCTTTTTATTTTTAAATATCCATATTTGATATGACTGTCTATGGTTTTAAAAATAGATGATGCAAAAGCCCGACCAAGATTGGATTCGGTTCGAGGATGAGGAATTGGCCCAATTCTAACTGAAACGTATTTCTTTCCTTCTATGATATGTTTGTTTTGATATTTTGAATCATCACACATGTTGTGGGTAGTTTAGATGCTCTGTTCAATGTTTTTTCCCTTCATTTTATTCTTTATTTTTTAAAAATTTTGGCTCGATCACCCGCTTCAGGGAATTGGATTGCCCGATTCAGGTGATCCAAATTGGCACAGAGGAGGGCAATCTACACAAACAGTCATTCCAGATTGGTTAATTGAAGGGCCAATGTACATAAACAAATTTGGTACGATCCCGATTTCATTTCGTAGTTTAATTTTATATGGATTGATATGAAATTTTGCAGGTGTGTAACACAGTTAGGAGCAATTAAATAATTCAAAAAATGAATCAAAACACCCCCGAGTTCTTCAATCAATTTATTGTTTTGAAAATTATAACTTTTTGTCACACTGGTCACATAGTACCAATACATAATCAATGAAAATTAGTGGGTTATGAGCTTCTTTGTAGAAAAGCTTCTTTGGTAAATTGATTCGAGTGAGGGCACTTACATATTTAATATTTTTGTCGTAAATATTGACAAGGAAAAAGAGTATTTATGATAACAAATTGCAAAATAATGTAAACATAATGTAGACAGTTCAAAGGATGCACAACAATGGCTGAGATTTCATAATGCTATATCCAATACCTAAAATTTAATTTTATTTTTCATATCTTATTTTTTATTTTTTCTTTTAAGTATTACATCTACGTGAAATTTGGGAACCAAGTTCTTTTACATAAGGTGAGCTAAGTAAAAATAATAAAAATATTTCTAAAATATATTTGTGTCAATACATTTTTGCTCAAAATAATTTATTATCATTATTATTTAATTCTCATAAAAATAAAGCTAAAACCCAAATTTCCTATAAATATAATTTTTAAATTAAAAGTAAAAAAGAATAATTTCTAGTCTTTGAATGAGGATAAGTTTTAATCTGAACTATTAGAAGATACTTGTTTACTTTCAATGTTAACTCCCCACCCCATGATGTAGATGATGCACGTAAACAAATTATACTCAACTGTTCAGAAAGATAAAATATTACATACCCCATAAGAGTGTGTAGATGGTGCACATATAAGCATTTTATATTCCTAACTGTTAAAAAAGAATAAAAAATATGTCAGTGTATGGAATACTTGGATATACATTGAAAGATTTATGCAAATAACAAGTGATGAGTTGCTGCTAAGGTTTTTATGGCCAAGAATTTACAGGTGAAACTTGAAAAAATGTAGCTATTTAACATTTTACTTATAGGAAAAGAGCCTGGTTTTAATTAGTTAGTATTTGATGATTTGCAATGTTACATCCTAGATTCAATTTTTATCAAGGGTAGAGGCTCTCTCCCCACTAACTCACCCAAAAAACTAAATATAATAATAATAATAATAAGTTTACCTACTTTTCTACTACAACTTAACGTTAATGGACATAACCATGAGTTAGAAGAGTTTATATGCTTCTTGAGAAATGAATAGAGTACTCATATAGGGCGTCAACTTTTACCACAAAAGTATATGGCCCACATAAATTATCCATAGGAAAAGTTGTTTGGATGTGAGAAATTCCTTCAATTCATCGTGGATGTTAGAAATCCTCCGATTCATCATTTCAACCTCAAAGTTTATGGATATTAAAAAAAATTAAAGTCCTAAAAACAGTGTATCTTGTTGCGCATTATCTAAAATATTATTTCTCAGGATTTTCAAGTGTTCGTATATTAGGATTGTCTACAAAGAGACCATTTATCTTTTGTACATAGAGATCATAATCATTTTTGTCCTTTAAATTTCAAAATAGATAGTTTGGGGTGAGTCATGAAATATGAGAATTCTTTTTTTTGGATCTTTGTGTCTATTAAATGACACTCTTACAATCACTAATTTTGAAATTTAGGAGGCAATAATGATTGTGGCCTCTATGTGTAAAAGATAAATGATCTCTTTATAGGCCATCCCTACTATCTTTGCTCAATATTGTACCATTTACAAAGCTTCAGATTCTATATAATTAAATTTTCAAGCTGTCATACAGAGCTTCCAGCACGAGGATTATATAATACCAATAGGTTTCAAAGATATATGTTACACTTTGATTCTTTAAGGTTGACACATCTTTTGGATAAATAGGTGAATTTTTCAATAGTTGATATTTTAAGTGTGGTTTGATGAGTTCCATATCTTACATCAGGAATAATTTCTCGATCACAGAAACTTGATAAACGTTAGATTGCAGGGAGTTTTGTTTAACACATGATAGATGACTTTAGTGCACCTTTAGTATGCATAAAAGTATTTCTGCATGAAAAAACTTTTTTATATTATTAGGTGTAGGAGCTTCTACACATGAATTTGCTGTCAATTGGTGTGAAGAACTGTATGTTGGGACCAATTAGTAAAAAACACGTCTCACACCTAATCATAAAAAAGTGTTTTTTCACATATTTATGGAAATATTTGGGAAATGTACCAAGCGTGCCCTCAGAGTGGGACATTTGCACACATACATGCACATCTTAGTGCGTATTATACACGTACAACGTGTACCAGTGTATCGAGACTGGACTCGGCTACGTACTCTAAAGTTGTGTGACCAACCACGGTATGGTAAAGAATAAAAATAATAAAAATAAAAGTTATATTATACAAGTTTTTGTGTACATGATTTAATACATTTTTAATAGATTTGGCAAAGGCCAGTGTTTTTTTATCATAATAACATTTTTATAGTTTTTTCTTTTTAAAAAAATATATTTATCCTAGAAAATAAATTGGTTTTTTCTAATCCATATTTTCCCTACTTTTTTCCTTGTTTTAACTTTTTAAAAATGTTTTAAGTTTGAATTTACTTTAATATTATTTTTTATTTTTATAATTTTTAACTTTTTTCTATATTTTCATTGACTCGCCTGGGCTGGGGTGGGGGGAAGGAGCTCAATGACCGAGACGAGTTTATGTATAGTGACGCGTAAAACACATATCATGCAAATTAAACTTACCCTGTAGCAGCGAAGAAGGCCAAGGGAATCATCATCTCCCAGCTGTTGATATTCGTGCTGTAAAATCAATGATGAACGGTAGTAAGCATTTGAACGGTAGGTTGCAAAAGAACAAAACAATTATGGCAATAACAAAGCTTTCCAGGAGCATAAACATACTGTACACGTGGAAAAGAAAATTCGCTTCAGAGGATTTTTACATATTATTTTTTTGGAAAGAGTTATATAGAGCCAAGGCTCTAAACAATCAAATTAGAGCTCACCTCGAAATTTTAACTGAAAGAGGTTGTTTTAATGCCCAAATATCGTCAAGTTGATCATCTCGACCTCAAGATGCATAGACATGTAAAGAAAAATGGATTTCAAGTTTTGGAAGTAGTACATCTTGTAATACATTTTTTAACAGTCAGTTTTTAAGATTTTCACGTTTTCATATATTTTCTTAATCTACACCATTTTTTAAGCTTTAAATTTTATAATTAGATATGAAAATATATTTTAAGGCTATCACAAAGATTTATTGAAACCACATTGCTTGACACTATTTGATGGTGCGCTTTATTTTGATTGTTTAGAGCCTTGGTTCTATACAAACCACGCCTTTTTTATTTTATTTTTATCCACCTCCAATACACAAGAATTATTTTCTTTTTGAGAGAAAGCACCGTATGATTATTTTGAAAAAGAATAAAATTTTGAGATTATCAAAGCTTAGATCTCACCCACCTAAAACCTCCACTCCTCGACACATTATGTTCTATATTACTCTTCGGACCTTATCTTTTCCGCACCCAAGGAATGCCATTTGAAAAGTTATGTTGTTAAGATTAGCAACTAGGAGACGTCAACCACCAAAATTTAGGGCCTAAAACTACTCCTTAATCGAGTAATGAACATGATTGTTATTATTGATTGGACTGACCATCGAATTGGTGAGGGATATAGTTTAGTCAAAATCAGTTTGACTACCAGCCTGGTTTAATAGAAATTTAAAACTACTAAGAAAAATATAAATAACAGTTAAAAATATAAAATATATCAAAAAAGAAAAATGTTTATATAAGGTTATAATCTTATATTGTAGATGTAATGTGCATCTTACATTTCAGTAGAAAAAAGTGTTCAAAAGTTATAAAACTTTTTTATTGATCATTTGGACCTTGAGATGTATGTTACAAAGGAAAAAAAAGATTTTCGAGTTCTAAAAATAGTTTATTGTGTAATAAGTTATCTGAACTGTCTATTTTAAGATTTTGAAGTGTTCATAGATTTGTTAAATCTCCACCTACTTAGTAATTTTAAATTTGGAAAAAGATGTTGTGCGCCCAGGTGCGTACTGCTATAGTAAACACACGGTCCACGTTGAATCCGGGCCGATCTGACGATCACGAATGTCCAATATTGTTTCTATTTTATTTTTTTTACAAATCAAAATCACTTGTAATTTTAGGTACGTGTTATTAAAAAATAGGCGAATCTACGAAAAATATCGAAAAACAATTTTACATGAAATAAATTGACCAAAATACCTCCAAAATATTTCGGGGGTATTTTTTCCAATTATTTTTTCATGAATTATTTTTTCTATATTTTTATTAGATGCGCCTTGATGAGAAGAATACACGTTTAAAATTTCAAATGATTTAGATTTGTAGAAAAAAAAATTAAAATTCAAACACTATAAGACATCCGTGAGTGTTAGATCGGCCACAGAATGGCTCAGATTCCATCAGAGCCATTCGCGTACGGGCATAACACAGCGACTCCCTTTAAATTTCAGAACCAACATTGTACATAGATTTTCAAGCAATCATAAGGTTCCCCACACTAAAACTATATCTTCCACAAAAATCATGTAACATACTTAAGTAAAAGGGGCACCTTATACAAATTTCAACCACAAGGCAAAAAAAAAAGTTTGCCCATTTTATTTAGCAGATTAAACTATTTGAAACTGGACTATAGATCGGCTAAAACTCCTCAAATACTAATTTGACATACTTTTGATCGAACTAAATTTTTAATTTGGACAAGCAGGTCTAGAGCTGATACATATATTGAACATTATGCTTGAACTATGAAAATGAAGGAAACAGAGACCACATGGTGTGATGTAAGAGAACAATTATATTAAATTAAAGTACTAAACCACTAACCGACAAAGATTTTGAAGTTTAAGAGAAAAAGCCGACAGAAAGAAGACAAAAGGTTACTATAAAGTAATGATAAATTAAGTTTGAGTTGAATTTACCAAATGGAAAGGGCATCCACTGCAACCTCTGCGTTCTCTAGATTTCCGGTCAAAAGAATCAATATTCTATAGTACCAATTCTCCAAGCTGTTCATGCATTATCAGAAACAGTAAAATAATGATTATTTAATGAAAGAAAATGACGATTAGTAGAGAGAACAAGTATTAAAATATTGACGGTTCATAATCATAAACAGAAAAACTAGATAGCTTATTGAAGAGGAAGGTGAGATATTTGGACACGTAAGTTTAATAATCATTTACGTAAAAAGAAAGATTTATTAGAGAGGAGAGAGTGGGAAGAATAGGAAAAGATAAAGGTCTCGGCAATCATACGACAAAAGGTTGTGGTCGTTGCAATCATATGAGGAGAGGTAGATTATTTAAAGCACTAGTTTAAAAAATGGATTGGGAATCCCAAAACTTTTTCTTGATGGATGAATCGGTATTTTTTTTGATTGAAAGTCGGTTGATTCGGTGGGATTCTAATATAAAAAAAATTTAAATAAATTATTAAAAATCATTAAAAATGTTGTTTTTTATGAATCAAAAAAAAAAATGAGAGTACTACATTAATAACTTTTAATTTTTTACATTAATATGTCAATATTGAGATGTTATTTTCTTGTATGAACTATTGTTAATCACTGTATCAAAATAATTTAAAATATTAAAAAACAGTTCTATATTATACTATTAAAAAATAATTTTTCATATTAAGTGAATTAGTATCACATGAAATATTTATAGTTTTCTTTACTTGTATGAGATTATCAAAACTTAACTAACTATAATAATATACATTGAATATAAATAAATTAATACATATAAAGATAGTTTTCTTATAGCTCAAAATATGAAGTTGTAATCATGTTTTAATGAAAATAAAAAGTAAATAAATAAATTTGTGCATGCATGAATTATTGTTATTTACCTAAAAAAAATTTATTTTTACAAACTTAATATATTTCATTATTTATCTCAAAATTTATGCTTCTACCCACACTATTTAATCACCCTTAGACCCCCCCCCCCATTTCTAAAAGAAATTAAGAGTGATGGATTATGTAATTTTATTATTTGGAAAAATATGTGAATATTGAGACATTGTTTCTTTGTCTAGATGTCTGTATGATATTAATTATAATATATTATTAAAAATAATTTACCATACAAATAAGAATAAATTTAAAATTTGTCATATAATATCATCTAATTTTTTAAAAATTTATTTATAGCTATAATAAAAATAATACATTATATGATTTATAATATAAATAAATAAACAAATAAAATACAAGATTTGGTTATCAATGTATAATTATTAATTATAATATTATAATAAACATGATTCAAAAAACAAAGGTGTGACCCTTACAAATAAATAAATATACAAGAATACAAAATTTAGAAACTTAAATTTGTAATTACATTATAATAAAATTAGACAAATAAATAAATATCATACTTGCAATGTGAGATAATTGATAATGCCACTTTAAAATAGATTTTAAATTGGTTTGGGCTAATGTTAAGTTTTTTCTCTTAAAATATCTCATAAACTTGTAATATTTTTAATGATCAATAAAAGTTATATATATATATATATATATATATAGTGTGGGTAAGGCGAAGGACACGAC